GCACCTGGGCCCGTGAGCCATGGCCACTGAGCCTGCACGTCCGGAGCCTGTGCTCCGCAACGGGAGAGGCCACAACAGTGAGAGGCCCGCCGCCGGCAACAAAAAAAAAAAAAAAAAAAAAAAGAAAAAGAGAAAAAAAAAATATATGGAGGAGAGGAAAAGAGATTTTTTTATGGTAGGAAAGAGGCAGTCTGAAGGGTTTCTATTAGGTTATCATAGCCTATATTTTATATTTTATTTAATGCAGAGAAATAGATTTTGAAAAAATGATTTTCAGACAGTATTTTCCTTTGTGAGTTATTGAAATAAGGGGGATAGCTTAACATAATAAATGTTTATTTCCTCCCCACAACACAGTGAGGTATAGCTCAACTTGGCCATTCAGTATGGCTCTCTGTCGGTGACTCAGCGATGTAGACTATTTCCATTTTGCATCTTAGGTATATGCTAATAAAAACATTTGGTTGTATCGGGCAAAATAGAGATTAAGACACAAAGCACTATTAGGGATATAGAGGGTTACCTCATAATGACAAACCTTTAATTCATGAGGAAGGTATACTTTTTCTAATTATGAATGTAGCTAATAAAATGGTTTCAAACTACATTGAGAAAAATTGCTAAGATCACAGGGAGAAATTAACAGACTCACTACAATTCTGTGAGATTTTATGGTGACTTTCAATTAATTGATGACTTTCAATTATTAATAGGATAAAGAAAAAGCAAGAAAGTAGTAAAACTAAGATGATTTGAAAAAAATGAAAAATCGTGATCTGATAGATACACACACACACACACACACACAGCTCTGCAGCCAACAATTAGAGAATAGATGTTTTCTTTAACATAAATGGAATATTTACAATTCTCTAATTGTAACTGGAATATTTACAATTAGAGAATAGATGTTTTCTTTAACATAAATGGAATATTTACAAAAAACTAATCATGTCTTATACCATAAATCTCACACTACATAAGAAATGGCTATTTTGAAAAGTTCTATGGTTATAACTAAATAAGTAGGTAATTTAAAAATTGGGGGAAAAAAACCCTTATATTTTAAAAAAATTAGAAAGAAAAACTACCTTAATGGAAATACCTAAAAATGTATTTAGAATTGAATGACAGTGACCATACAACATATCACAACTTGTAGAATGCAACAAAAGGGATTCTTTGAGGGAAAATATGATAAATCCAAAGAATATAGAAGGAAATAAATAGCAAAGATATGAACAGAAACTACTGAAATGGAATGTGAGTATGCCAAAGAAGATCAAAGCCAAAAGTTAGTCCAATTAAGAGATTAGAAATGGATAATTCTACATGGAATTTGATTAAGATAAAAGCAGGTGGACACAAATAAATATTAGAAATGATGAAGGGGATGGACCAAGATGGCAACATAGGCAGCTTCTGAACTTCTCTCCTCCTAGGGACACATTGAATATAAAGCTGCACATGGAGAAATTCCCTCTTAGAGAAATCCAGAAACCAGCTGAGTGACTCCAACATCTCAGATTAATAAGAAAATACCCATACGAAACCTGGCAGGAATGGCTGAGATACATTCTTGCCATCAACCCCATCCCTGGCACAGTGCCAGACAATTGGGAGGGAAACCCCAGCTCCCAACTTTGTCCTGAGGTTTTAGGCTGCACATCTAATGTCCCAGCTTTTAAGACTCCCACCCAAGGGACAAGCCCCCAAAATACCTAGCTCCAAAAGCCAATGGGGCTTGTGCCCACAAGAACTACAAGACTCCTTATAGTGGAGATACTAGTTCCACAGGAGAAAGTAGGCAGTCGTGGGCAATGCCTCCAGGTCAGAGAATAGTTCATCAAATGTTTCAAAGATATTTCTTCTTGGAAACATTGAGACATACAGGGCTTACTTTGAATACAGACTTTACTACATGTATATTTGACTAAAATCCTCACGTGAGAACTATTTCATTTATTATTACTAGGCACTAGACGAACCAGCCAAGACAGAGAGCATCTCCAAGGACAACACATTAGATCCACCTCTGGAGGTAATGGCTTCAGATCACCCCTGCTTTTGAAATGCAATCCCGAAACTCATTGCTAACCCAGTACCTGGTTTCAATTCTTCCAGTTGTGTTTCCCTGAACAGCTCAGGCAGCAAACTGAAGAGCTCTGTGCTACCATTGATAAGGTCTTACAGGATTCCTTGTCTATGGTAATGCCTTAGACTAGACTGTGCAATTCAAACCTTTGCTTTGCTTCACTTCATTTCCCTCTGCTTGGCTAGGATGGATGCATCATAAGCTTGTCCTTTTTTTTTTTTTCTAGCATTCTTCTGATTCTCCTTCAAGTTCCCTACAGACATTTTTGGGTTCTGACACAATGAAAGTATGTATGTATTTAATATAATTTACTGAACCATAATATAGTAATATTAATGATTTTTAAACTGCAGGTCAAGGCCCAGTAATGATTTGGGAAATTAGTGGATAGCAACTAGCATTGTGTTTTTTTTGTTTTTTGTTTGCTTAGCTGTTGTTAGCAAACAGCATATTAAAATAGAATAATAAGAATGTAAACTATCTATCAGACTGTATTATTCCAAGCAGTGAGTAGGTATTGTTGACATTTATTTCAATTCGTTTACATGTACAGGTATAGGCATGTGTATATAGGTTGCAGTAAAATCTATTTCTAACTGTAGGTCAAGTTCAAAACAGTTTGAAAGTCAAAGTATTAGACTGTGTTGTTATATGTTGGCATTTAGTATATAGAAATGTATGTGGAATTTGTGACTTATTCTCATCCCAAACCATAGCTTCAGTCCTTATGTAATTCAGAGCCCTTACACTTGTAGAAACTGAAAATGAGGTTGACTAAAGTAGTGTTAGTTTTAGAGCTTTAACACTGGTATTATTTCTGGAATTCTTTTCTTTTGGTTAACTGAATTCATTTCATTGTTCGTTGACTCAGAGGGACAGAATCCTGGATATTTTAGATCATTTGAGGACTACTAAAGCATTGTTATAATTGAATATTTAAGTACTCCCTTCTTATCATGTAGCCTTTTTCATTTGTTGGGATAAAATATTACATTTCTCCAAGTTATTTTTTTTTTTTAATGCTTTGTACAGATCTACTTACCTAAATTTCAAAATGATTGTGGTTTTTCTTTTATTGATAATTGTTAGGTTTTTTTGGTCAGGTTTATTTTCTCTCTTGGAATTAGTATAAATACTTTTTGCATATTCTTTTTCAAAATTGGACATTGTATGTATAAAGTAGATTTTATTGAATTTTACTTATTTAAAAATTTTTATTACAGTTGATTTACAAAGTTGTGTTTAAAGTAGATTTTAAATGTATAGAATTGCCTATAACTAAAACAGTATTTCTAATTTTCAATTGGAACATTATAGACGAATATCCTTTAATAATGATGTAGAAGCCAGGTAATCACTCATTGTCAGTATTATTATATTTTAGTAGAGAGAACCTGCAAATGGATAGTTATAGCTTCTCTATTTGTAAGCTATTTTGTATATTCTTTAAGTCTTTTAATCTAAAGATAGAAAAGTTTGATTTGCCAGAGACTATATAAATTTTAAATATATTTTTTTCTCATTTCATTTGTTGAACATATAAAAATACCCTATATTACATTAAATGTAATAGGAATAGGACTTAAGTAACATGTGAGTAATAACCTGTATTATTGATTTATTTAACAAATATTTAACGCTTATAGTGTTAAAGATACATTATTCTAGGCCATTCAATTTAAGGCAGTTTTTCATTTAACAAATATTTATTAGTGCTTACTATGGACTTGGCACTGTGAGGTACTATGGTGATAAGCGTGAGCAAGGCAGAGTAATCGGAGAGGCATATTTCTTTTTTTAATTGAAGTAGAATTGATTTACAAAGTAGTGTTAGTTTCAGGTTACAGCACAGTGATTCAGTTATACAAATATACATATATGTATTCTTTTTCAGACTCTTTTCCCTTATAGGTTATTACAAAATATTGAGTATAGTTCCCTATGCTATACAGTAGGGCCTTGTTGTTTATCTATTTTATATACAGGAGTATGTATATGTTAATCCCAGCCTCCTAATGTACCCCTCCCCACACCCCGTTTCCCCTTTGGTAACCATAAATTTGTTTTCTATGTCTGTGGGTCTGTTCTGTTTTGTAAATAAGTTCATTTGTACTTTTTTTTTTAGATTTCACATATAAAGTGATATCATACGGTATTTGTCTTTGTCTGACTTACATCAGTTAGTATGATAATCGCTAGGTCCATCCATGTTGCTGCAAATGGCATTATTTCATTATTTTTTATGGCTGAGTAATATTCCACTGTACATATGTACCACATCTTCTTTATCTATGCATTTGTCAACAGATATTTAGGTTGCTTCCATGTCTTGACTATTGTAAATAGTGCTGCAATGAACATTGGGGTGCATGTATCTTTTCAAATTGGAGTTTTCTCTGGATATAAGCCCAGGAGTGGGATTGCAGGATCATATGGTGGTTCTATTTTTAGTTTTTTAAGGAACCTCCATACTGTTCTCCATAGTGGTTGCACCAATTTACATTCCCACCAACAAGGTAGGGGGGGTTCCTTTTTCTCCATACTGAGAGGTGTACTTTGGATATAACGATCTGAAAGTAGGATTCAAACTGAGACCATGAGGGAAAGAAGCCAGTCATAGAAAGATCAGGAAGAATAGCTTTCAGGAAGAGGAGTAAGCATGTGCAGATATCCTGGCAGGAAAGAACTAAGTGTGCACGAAGAAGGCCCGTGTGGTTGCAGTATGGTGAACAGTGTGAAATGAGGTGAGAAAGGGGTGTAGGGACGGCGAGGATACTTACATGCCATGCCATGAAGTTTGGATTCCAGGGAAAATGGGAAGATATAAAAATATGGGGGGAATAATATGAAACCATTGAGAAAGCTGGCTGATGGCTGCTGTGATGAGGCTACTGAGGTCAGAGGAACCATGACCATGGCCTGGTGCAGAGGAGCTGCAGAGAAGCACTGAGTATGAAAGAGATATTGCAGCCTTGCTTGGGTTTGGATGTGTGCAGAGAAGGAGAGGAGAATCGTGGAAGGGCTCCTGCTCTTTGCCTCAACTGTAGACAAACGTGAAGGAGGCTCAGTGTGGTAGACGGAAGAGGGTTATGTTTATTTGGATAAGGTAAGTTCAAGATGCGTGTCAGGGAGGCCTTAAACCTGTGTGGCTGGAGCTGGTACGAGAGATCGGGGAATGACTGGTACGTTGATGCTGTGGACACCCTGTACGGAGCTCCCAGGAAGAAAATATTGCAGGTCCAATCAAGGAGAATGAAAGTCTATTGTGCTCAGAGCAGTGTGGTAACATGGAAGCTACAAGAGCACAGTGTTTAAGAGAGTGTGATCATGGTGATTGTTGCCAAGAAAAAGAGAACGAATAAGGCTAGAGAAATGTTCATAAGATTTGACTTTGCTTTTGAAACTGTATTGCTATTGCTTATGTGTTTATTCTCATCATTTTGATTTTTCTAGCCTTTATTAGCCTATAAAGTCCTTGTGAACCTGAGGCTGTTCTTTTTAGTGTCATATGAAAATTGTGACCTTATATATTGATACATAACATATATGTAATTTTTAATTCATGTTTTCCTAGATGTATCTTTTATTACTTTTTTCTATTATTATTATTATTTTTACTATTTTCTATTATTTTTTTTATCTTTTTGTACACTCATCTTATTTTCTTCAAGACAACATATTTCTGGATATCACTTTTATATTTGATCTGAAATTCTGTTTATCTGGGACCTTAAGCCATTAGTAATTACTGTAATTCTTCTTATATTAGGACTAATATCTCCTATCTTATTTTATATTTGCTACTTGAAATGTTTTCTTTTTTGACTTTCCTGCTTTCCTTTGGATATTTTGATATTTACTGGTTTGAAAATTTTGAAAATTTTACTTTGCATTTTTGTTACTTTTCATATTTACCTCTAAATTATTAAAGACAATAATTATGCTTATTTTCCTATCAATTTTAAAGCTTACATATATCTTTTTCTAAACTTAAGTACCACAGGATTTTTCACTTTCCTGTTGTTTTTAATCAAGATCTATCTATCTATCTATCTATACATATGTATGTAGACGTAGTTTGTTAGTATTTTTTGGACTTCTAGATCTGAATTTTATATGGTTATATTTTTCTTGATTTCTTCTTTATTTAGACACATACTTTATTTAGATCCTTATTTCTTACACATTCATAGCTTTTTCCTGGATTTATTTTTCTTCTTGTTGACCTCTTGGTTGTATTCAATAAGGTCTTTTTGTATTGACTATTGCCTGTGTTCCTGAGATTATCATTATTTTGCCCTTTTATTTATTTATTTATTTGTTTTTAGTTAAATTTATTTATTTTAATAGATCTTTATTGGAGTATAATTGCTTCACAATACTGCATTAGTCTCTGTTGTACAACAAAGTGAATCAGCCATATGCATATATATATCCCCATATCCCCTCCCTCTTGAGACTCCCTCCCACCTTCCCTATCCCACCCCTCTAGGTTGTCACAAAGCACAGAGCTGATTTCACTGCGCTATGCTACTGCTTCCCACTAGCTATCTATTTTACATTTGGTAATGTATATATGTCGATGCTACTCTCACTTTGCTCCAGCTTCCCCCTCCCCCACCCTCCATGTCCTCAAGTCCATTCTCTTCTATGTCTAAGGCTTTATTCCTGCCCTGCCACTAGGTTCATCAGTACCATTTTAAAAAATTTTAGATTCCATATATATGCGTTAGCATATGGTATTTGTTTTTCTCTTTCTGACTTACTTTACTCTCTGTGACAGACTGTAGGTCCATCCACCTCATTACAAATAACTCAATTTCATTTCTTTTTATGGTGAGTAATATTCCATTGTATATATGTGCCACATGTTCTTTATCCATTCATCTGTGGATGGACATTTAGGTTGGTTCCATGTCCTGGCTATTATAAATAGTGCTTCAATGAACATTGTGGTATGTCTCTTTTATTTAAGACTTTTTAAAAATTTTATTTATTTAATTAATTTATTTTTGGCCGCACTGGGTCTTCATTGCTGCATGCGGGTTTTCTCTAGTTTGGTGAGTGGGGGTTACTCTTCATTTCAGTGCGTGGTCTCCTTGTTGCAGTGGCTTGTCTTGTTGCAGAGCATGGGCTCTAGGAAGGTGGGCTTCAGTATTTGTGACACGTGACCTCAGTAGTTGTGGCTCGCGGGCTCTAGAGTGCAGGCTCAGTAGCTGTGGTGCACGGGCTTAGTTGCTCTGCGGCACGTGGGATCTTCCCAGAACAGGGCTGGAACCCGTGTCC